AAGGGAATTTGAGTGTGAGTTCTATCATTTATCATACACATTTTGTAAACTATTCTTGAATATGGGGTTTTACTTTTCGCATCTTTAAAAATGGAAATAAAAATATGTACCTCATATATTATGAATATTACTAGATTGTGTCTAAAGCACATGTATGCCTGAGATCCAAAATATGCTCAGTTCTTATAAATATTCATTTTTCTTTCTATCCTTCATTTGATCATTCAAAAAGTTTGAGTATATGTTTGAAGTGGTGCACTGAAAGAAAAGAAAGTGATCTGAAGCTCAAATATAGGTCACTAGTACATTTTACTGCTAGGGAAGTGAGAAGAGCTATTTAGATGAACCCAAAAAGGGTGTAACGAGCCACATTTCTAGATCTAGAAATGCCAGTCTGATGTATTAGTGATAATTAGGGTTAAAGGGGAAGAAATAAGAGCTAGAGGCCCACAGATATTTTTTTTTCAGTGAAGAATTAGTTTTCTTGAAGTGGGCCATAGAAGTAAAATGCAAAGTGAAAAAGTTAAAGCAATCTATGTGGCTAACAACAAGCATCTTTGCAGACATGCGAGAAACTGTGTGCCCGAATATTTGAACAAAAAATAGGAAGCAGCACCTAAAAAGAATCTCAGAAAAACATAAGAGTGAAGGGGCTGATGCCTATACGAGGGAAAAATATGCTTCCCAGCGTTCCACAGTGGGAGGGGATGGAAGGAAGCAACATAACATTAGCGTCTGCTGATAGAAAAGGTACTTTGGTATAGTCTACTACACAGTGCCCAAATGAGGCCTAATTCAGACTTAATTCAGGCCATTACAGGAATGGAGATAGCATTAAGTGCTTCTAGGTTGTAGTACTTCTGCTATTTATTCCTAGAGTACTGCACTTCCTTTATCATTTTGATTGTTGTGGCTTATTTGTTGTCTTTCCTGATAAACTCTAAGGATAGTTTATATGTCACGCCGAATGGCATTTATTAATAATAATAACAACAATAATAACTAATTCTTTTTATTGCTTAAATCACCCCAGATTTCAAGGACCTTAACAGTTGATATAAACAAGATTCCATCATAAGAATGATGGGTGGCAGGATTTGGTAGTATATGAGTGTACCAGCCACTGGCTCGAGTTAGGCCAAAAAAATTGTGTAGAGTTCAAGAAGTCACTATAAATTTTAAAATGAAAGAAAGAACCTACTGAGAAGCTCAGTCCTAAAAAATGGTCATGAAAGCTTGCCAATGACACATGGCACCCCAAGTTTGGTTAGCAGTAGAAGTAAAATGAGACATTCAGGAGCCCATTAAACATGTGCAGAATACTGGGTCTGTTTAGCACACCCAAGCCTAACTGGGTACTCGATATGAAGGTCTTATATCCTTAAACAGAATCAACTCATGAGCTAGGTTGGAACAGAAATTGCAGGCGTAGAGTCAAGGGATCCAACTGTGAGAAGTTGAAAATATGAAGACAGAGGGAAAAAGGCAAATGCTGACCCCACAGATTTATGAACTGGGTAGAGAACATGCTGGAATTTAAAATGATCAACACAGAAAAATCAGACTATACTAGGGAGAACTTCTGTAGAGGCTATTCTGCAGGCCAAAGGGGAAACAAACAGTGGAAATCAGGAACCAAAGAAACTCTCAGAAGATGTTATTTCTGAAGAAAGAGCAGAAAAACTCGAAGTCAGGAAAATAATTCTAGGGTCTCAATAGGAAATAATATGTTATATATATTATATTATATTTATATATCTAGTCCATTCATTTGTTCATTCATTTATTCAGAAGGCAGTATGCTACGTATTAGAAATACAGTGGAATTATTATTTTTTTAAAAGTCCTTGCCCTAAAGGATCTTAGAGACCATAGGATAAATGACTGCAAGACTCTCTTTGGCTGAGACTGCTTGGGTACCTAAGGGTTCTCTGGCTCTCTCTAAATCACCAGCATTGAGAGGACAGTCTCAAACCCATGTCACCCAGTAGAGTAAGACTCTCTCCATATTGAAAAATGATCCTCTAAAACATAATCTGATTTCTCTCCTTAATATCCCACAGTGTTCCCTTTTGCCCTTATGATCAAATATAATCATAATCTGATTTCTCTCCTTAATATCCCACAGTGTTCCCTTTTGCCCTTATGATCAAATATAATCCCTTAATACATTATCATAACATGGCCTTTCCTGCTCCACCAGCCTAATCTCTGAACACCCCTCCTTGCGCTCTATGCTCCGCTTTTAGTTATTAAAAGTGCATGGCTTACTCTTGACTCTGACCTTCCTCTTGTCTGGCACAGTCTTTCCTCTTGTCCTCGCTTGGTCTATTCCTACTAAGCTTTCAGCTTAAGCATCACTTCCCTGTTCCCATGTAGGTTAGGTACTCTTGCTATTTGCTCCCATAGTACTAGACTTCCTTTGTCACTCTTACTGTTGCTGTTTATTCGGTTGTCTATTTTTTCTGATAAATTGTAAGGACAGTTCCTTGGGACACAATGTATATCTATTTTGTTTACCATTCTATATTCAGCAACCTCAGCACAGTGCATGGCACCAAGATAGAATTTTTAATTGCTAAATGAATGAATGTAAGAAATTTAAATTCTGTGAGGCAGAAACTGTATCAATTGACTAATCATTTTATCTCCAGTACTTCACTCAGAGCTTAGCATAAAGTTGTTGCTTATAATATGTTTGACTGACTAAATAAATGAATGCCATCTTGACCCAGTCACTCTCACCTTATTTGCACAAAACCCCTGTATTGATCAGGCACTATGTGTAATACTCTCAGTAGCTTGTTCTGTTTCCTATATGTTATGCCCTAAATGAAAGGCTCTGGGATTTTAAACCATGGCTGGAACTGGGCTCAACCTGCTGTGTACCTATTTGGAATCAGTCTGATCATTACACTTTCATAAATAACCAAAAGCTGCCATTTTCTCAGATCTCTGAAAATAGTACTTCTAATTCTCCCTGCCCTCCCGATATTCTCAGCCCTTTCTTCCCCACCTAAGTAGCCACGCTGTTCCTCTAAACTTTGTAAGTTGCTCTGGTTACTTATCTGTGAAACATAAAAGGCATGTATGAAATCAAAGGACCTGGCAGACCCTTGACTAGATGGAAAGTGAATGCCAAACACTAAAGGTTATCTTAGGGAAGCAGATATCTGTACATTCATAACTGAAAAAAAAATATTAAGGCAGGAAAACAATAAAAATATATCCTTAAGTGGTGACATAAATGATGAATTATTGCATATTCCCTAGGTAGAAAGATAAGATAAACTATGGTCAAGCCTGAAAATTATCCTGAAGGTTAAAAGGATATTTTATCATTATAATTAAGGCTAAATGCCTATAAAGCTTTTTAGAAAATCACACAGTGAAAAAGTTTTCAGTTTTGATGATCAGTATACAATATACTCAGTATGAATAATCATGCCAGAAAATTGTAATAATTTATGTAAAACTGCTTTAAATGATATTAATTTCAGTATCAATAATATATTTATTATATGCACAAAGCATAATTATTAAGCATACTTACACGTATAGTGTAATAAAAGCTACCCATTGGCAGCAAATAAAGTTTCTGCCCTTTATAAAATAATCTAATGCAAATAATACTGATACATACATTAAGTGATAAATTATCACAGCCATGCAATTATAACATACCAAGGACTTCAGAGCATTTCTGTATTTTTCTAAGAGCACCGATGGACTATTTGTCCTTCCTCTTCTGACTTCTCTATCCTTCCTTCCCTCCATTTTTCTGGCATTTACTGATAGATTATGTCTGGACATATACACAGTAGATAGGAAGATGGGTAAACCCGAGTCTCTGCCTTGTTCTTCTCTACCTGCTAATTTTAAACTCATTTTCAGATCCAGTAGTTTCTTCTTCAATAATCCTACAACTGAGAGGTTGATTATACTGGAAGCCAAATAAACATTCAGATGAGTTCTGGCCCCTTCAAAGGAGTACCATTGGCAGACTGGCAGCATAGAGTAAGAAGAGAGGAAAAGATGAAATTACACAAGGCAAGGCCCCCCTAGAGGAAGTGTCTAAAGAGATGAGAGGAGATGAAATCAAGTATACAGCTCTACGGATGAGGCTTCAACAGCAGAAGGTCAACTACTTTTGTATTAGAACAAAGATGATGAGGGTGGGTTTAGACAAATTTGTAGGTGGGAGGGAAGGGTAGGCATTTTCAAGTGGTCATATTTCATAGCTTGAATTTTCTCTGTAAGGTAAAAAGCAGGGTGTTCTGCTAAGGGAAAAATTAAAGATGTGGACAGGTATGTGCACTACTAAAAAAAAAAAAAAATGAATGAGGATTGCTGTATCTAGAAGGACACTGATCAAGTTACTCCTAATAAGCTGATATGACAAAGAATGTTATTTGTGAAAGCAGTGTAACAAGCAGAGGAAGAAGGCAGTAAGACAGTGCAAAACCATACAGGAAAAGTGGTACATTGCGTGCACCAACTGACCTATAACATTTGCTATTCCTTAAAAAAAAATAATCACCTTGTCTTTCTCCGTCTATATCGTTCCTTATTCTGTTCAATTTTCCTTCATTTACCTGACTGGGCCACTCTGAAAAAACTTGATCAATTTGGAAAAAAACAAAACAGAAAAAAGCAGCTCCCTGTAGGGGGGACATACCCTAAAGCAAATTAGTCACAGTTATGAATAAGTTTCAGTTACCATCTATATGATCCATCTATATTAAAATTGTAGATTTTTCTCTAAATTCTCAAAAATTATGAAAAGCCACACTACACAGAGAGAACACAGTCTTTTTGTTTTGTCTTTTTTTAAAGAGTGCTAGGTAAAATCACAGATGACAGAATAAGAAAGGAATATACAGTGCTCTATGAACAAAATCATAATATTTTCACTAGTTGCTAGCAGAATGGTTAACAACATGAGAGTTTGTAGTACAATCGTCATACAGTCATACAATTACTAAATAATTTCATCTTACCTGTATTGCAAGGGCACGAGCTACAAGACCTCTAAGGTATTGTAAAGGATCTTCTGGACCTTCCCACTTGCTTTGCCATGTGAGAGGACACTGCAATTTTAAAAGGATCAAAATTAAGTTTACATATACAATATTACATATAAAAGATCTTTTAACATTAGTGTGATGGGGAAACTATTTTGGCATAATTCACATTATGTGTATCATGAATTCATTTCATTAAGATATGTCTTTTTTCTATTTTATACATAATATCAATAATGTATATGTGTCAATCCCAGTGTATGTATAAAATGGACAACTGATGGGAGCATACTGTATAGCACAGGGAACTCTACCTAATGCACTGTGGTAAACTAAATGGGAAGGAAGTCCAAAAGGGAGGGGATATCTGTATGTGTGTATGGCTGATTCATTTTGTTGTGCAGTAGAGGCGAACACAACATTGTAAAGCAACCATACTCCATAAAAAAATTAATAAAAAAACTTTTTAAAAAGATATGTCTTTTCTTTGATCTTATCTCATTAAAATTGAATGATAAATAGAGTCAGAATGAATTGACCTGTTTCTCTAAAAGAAAATATTTTTAAGTAAAAATTCTTGAAAGAATAAACAAATGAACATAAACCAGTATATAGAAAGTAGCAAACCATGTTTTCTTGAAATGATATGTAATGAAATCAAATTAAATTTCACAAATTCATTTTATAAGTAGTAAAGACAAAAAACAACTAGTCTTGTGTCCCTACAGAATTACAGAAATTTTATCTCCCAAACCACACCAGATATATGACAAAAAGAGAATAAAACAGAAAATACTCTAAATTAAAGAAATAAATAAAACCTTTCTAAAAAAGTTACCTTTTTAATATCTGATCTTCTTTTAACTGACATTCTCCATTAATACATTCATTATAATATTCCTTTTCTGTGAGAGTTTTCTGGATTTTTCAAATATTATGTAACTATCATTCAAACTTAATATTTATTTTTCTCCAGTGGAATAATAAGGAGAGAGCATCAATTTCTTAACCCAAAACACTGTCTGATTACATAGCTGAGAAACTACTCCAGGCTAGAGTATATCAACAATGTATGGAAAATGGAAATTGTAAGATAACAAACCTTACAGTGAAAAAAAGACCTTAGAAAACATCTAGTTCAATTACTCTAGGTGAATGAAGTAAGCCTTCTTAGGAATATGGTAGCTAAGTGCTGGAGCTATGCTGTGAACTGAAACAGGTGTGATGACTTTAAAACATGATCCCTAAATCCTTTGACAATTCTGTGGAGACTTGAAGTCTGCTCTTCTTCTTAAATAAGTGTCCTGTGAATATAGCAGAAGTGATGTGGTTCCAGTTTCTTAAGAAATTGGTTGCTTGTATTTCCTGTCTTTTGTGACTCTTGATCTTGGAACCCATCCAACATATTGTGAAGTCCAATTTTTGGAGAGGCCCATGTGGAGATGAACTGAGGCTCCCAGCTCTCAGGCAGCACTGACTTGCCAGCCACATGAGTGAGCGGAGTGGAAGAGACAAGCTTTCTCTACCAAGGTCTACCCAAATTTCAGCTCTGTAAGCTTAAAATAAAATGATTTTTTAAAAATTATTATGTTTTAACCTGGTAAGTTTTGGTGGGATTTGTTATACAGCAAGACTTAACTGATACAGTTCTTTGGTATCCAGAAGCAGGGTTCTACCTTAACAAAAACCTAAAACATATGGCACTAGATTTGAGACTGAGTGGTGGGCTGAAGCTGCAAGAACCTTCAACAGAATGTAAGTGAAAACATAAAGGGCTTCTAAGAGAATAGTGGAGGTCTAAGGGACTTTGAGGACTTAAAGGAAAGGGAGGAAACAATCTCAGACAGACAAAAGTACTCTTGGGACCTTAAGGGCATGCCTTGCAGATCCTTTCTGTTAAACAATAAGGCTTCAATGAATCTTAAGGGTGTTGTCCCACAGCCAACACACAAGAAGCCTAAGGTAGAGAAAAAGGCTTATCACAAGATTTATGGCCATAGTTTTTGTCTAATGTGAATCTCAATGAGATTCAAAGCAAACTCACAATCTTAGAATACTGTTCTGGTGTAAGTTTCATCTGTTTGGGATTAATGGGGAAAAGAGGGCACAATTAAAAGAGAACTTTGGACCCCAGAATCCCTATGGGTGGGAAGCAGGTTGAGAAAACCACTCAGCTTCAAACATGGCTAAATCTTATTGAAATGTATGGATAATTAAGAGACGAGAATCAACAGCTCAGAGGGCAAAACCAAGAGCCATGGATAATTATTCCCAGGGAACAATATGGAATCCTAATAAAGGAACTGAAAACATAAGCTTGCTTAGATTTCAGAATTGCTAAGGACACGTGAGCCTCCCATTTCCTCATTTTTTGAGTGGGAATGTCTATTGCAGTTACCTGTCCTACCATTTTATATTGGGTTTGTAGGGGACAATAACTTATCTCTGCACATCATAGGTCTTTAGTTGAAAACGATGCTTGAGAAACTGTTTTTGAAGAACCAAACCCAAGAAGCCTCACCCATACTTCCACCTGATTTTGATGACAACATCCGGCCTGAGGCTGTAAAGGAATGAGACATCTCGGGAAACATGGAAGGAGATGACTGCATTTTACATGTGGGAGAAATGCAAATAATTTGTGCCCAAAGGGCAGACTGCAGCAGCTTCAAAACATGGTCCCAAAATTACTTGATACTCTTCCCATTGAGAGTTGAGGTCTATGTCCACCCCACCCCTTGACAACCCGACCAATAGAATAAGGGAGAAGTGACGCTTTATCGGTTTTCAGATCTAGGTCTTAACAAATTCACAGCTTTCATTTCCTCTTTCTTGGGGTATACACTTTTAGAACCAAGATACCATGTTGTGAAGAAGCCAAGTAGTCCATATAGAGAGGCCCATGTGGAGACATCTAGAGAGCAACCAAGGCCTCTAGCCATTAGTCCCGATAAACTACCAGCCAATAATCAGCACCACCTAGCCAGCCCCGTGACTGAGCGTCCATTAAGTAGACCCTCCTGTTCTAAGCTGAACCGACTCAGCTGGTGTCACATGAAGCAAAGACAAGCCTTCTCCACCAGACCCTGCCCAAACCACACACTCATGAGCTGAATAAATGATTGTTCTTGTTTTCAGCCATTAAGTTTCAGGGTAGTTTATTACGTAGCAATAGATAGCTGATAGGTCAGGTTTTCACATTCTAAGTTTTATGCTTTTCCTGTTGTAGAAAGAGAGCTCCTTTATATAGTGTTTAATTACATAATGTAAGTTACTGGTAGGCAACCTTTAAGGTGCTCCCAGTGACCCCTGCCACTTGGCATTCATCTCCATCCTTGTGAAATTCCCTCACCTTGAGCATGAACTGGTTTTAGGGAGTTGCTTCTAAGGAAAGAATATGGCAAAAGTGATGAGAAGCCAATTCTGAGAGTAGGGTACAAATATTGTGACTTCTGTCTAGCTCACTTTCTCTTCATCTCTTCCTTGTTCACTCTGTGTGAAAAAGTTGCATACTGTGGGTTGCTTTATGTAGATGCCCGTCTAGCAAGGAACTGATATGTCCAGTCAACAATAAGTGAGGACCTGAGGGCTGCCAACAGCCATCCCATAAGTGCTCTGAGAGGCTGCAGTAATTGCAGCCCTGGTGACTGCAGACTTGTGGGAGACCCTAAGACAGAACACCCAGCTAAGCTACCCCCAGATCCCGACTCACAGAAACTGTAATGTGATAACTTTTCATTGTTTTGGGTCACTAAATTCTAGGGCAATTTATTACACAGCAATAGATTAACTAAGAGAACTATCAATATTAGTGTCAGATGTAATACTTTCATTCAATACATATTCAAGTCCTTATTGTCCATCCATTCAGCAATTACTGAGAGCCTATAATGTGCAGGCATTTTAAGGTCCTGGCTATCATGGAGCTTACATTTTACTGGGGGATAAAGGCAATATACTTATTTCTAAATATATTATAAGAAAAAGACTACACAGTGCTAAATCCTATGTAGAGAATTACAACATGATATGTGATATGACCGAAGTAATATGAAATGATAGTGATATGATAGAAGACTATGAGGAATAAAATCTTCACCCTAAAGAGCATTAGAAACCAGTAAAGGAGATACACAGCTAATGTCCCTGATGGTGTTTTAAGGATGACTTATATAGCATGTTTCTGGAGCTAAGAGGAAAACAATGATTTAATCAAAGAAATCTTAGTAAAGGAAGTACTGTGAAGCTTTGAAAGTTGTGTTGAATTTTGACAAAGGTAGACATAACTGGAGGGGACTTTTTAAGCTAACATTTATGTGTTAGTAACTGTGCTGAGTTTTGGATATGTACCAGAAGCAGGTACTATTGTAATTTCCATTTCACAGAGGAGAAAATGGAGACACAAAGAGAACAGCATATCCAAAATCACAGAGCTGGAAAATGGCAAGTCCAAGATGTGAACCCAGGTAACCTAACTCTAGAGTCTGTCAGCATTAATTCTGCCTCCAACGTATTTTACATTTCTATAATGTAATTTCTATATTACACCATTTGAGATTTGTCAACTGAAAAAAAATGCACAATGTGAGAGTTGTGCATTAAGTTTTACTTGGGGCAAAATGAGGATTATAGCCCGGGAGACAGCATTCCAGATAGTTCTGAGAAACTGCTCCAAAGAGGTAGGAGGGAAGGTGTATGATTTTGTGTGTGATTTTGATGAAGGAGGAGTACATGTAATCAAGCACATATTTTTTGCAGAAGGTTGCTGCTAGTTTTGTGAAGATTCAACATGACAATTATGTATTGGGAATTAAAGTTATAATTATGGGGAAACTAAGGCTTAGAGTAGGTTTATTTAACTAAACTATTTTTTTTAATCTAAATGGTAGAGAACTTGAACCCAGGTCTAACTCTAAATGTAAACTTTTTGTTATCCCATGCTTTTCATGAAAGATGTCATAAAAGCAAAACAGGATACAAGCAGATTTCCTAATTCACTCTTTTTCAAGCATCAATTAATTAACTGACAACTCAGCAATAACCTGTTAAATAGCTGCTATTTGTCA